AGAGGAACAGAGACTCTTTGATGTCAATGGGGCTTAAAGGTAGGTACCCTCTCCCAAAACATTTTAATAAATTTTAATAAAATGTCATGCCTAGGCAAACCCACCAGCCACTCCTCGGAAGGAAGGTTGGGCAATCCTACTTCCGTAGTGATACTGCCTCAGAAACCCAAGGAGGGGTCGCTATGAGTCGGGGCCAACTTGACGGCAAATAACAACAACAACAAGCTGAAGAAGAGGTTGTAAACTCAGGGCCTGTGGACTTTATCTGGCCCAATGATTTTTTTTAAGTGCATATATAGCTCTGGTGGCATAGTGCCTAAGGCATTTGACTGATGACCAGAGACTGGTTCTTCAAACCCACCAGCCACTCCTTGGAAGGCAGACTGGGCAATCTACTTCCGTAGTGATACCGCCTCAGAAACCCAAGGAGGGGTTGCTATGAGTCGGAAACTACTTGATGGCAGTGAGTTTGGTTTTTTGTTTTATATTTTTTTGTCTTTTCAATGATTTAAAAATTCAACATGTTTTCACATGAAAATTCATTTTCCTGATTTTTTTCTTTAACAAAGATTAGTCCTGAGCTCAAAGTCCTGCATGGCAAAAATTATCTGACGAGTAAGACGAGTATGCGCTCTCTGGTCTAGGTTGTAAGAAAGCCCACCACTCCCCTGGACTCACAAGACCATCTTCACCTTCACCTGGTTCCTACTCACCAAACCAAACTCACTGCCGCTGAGTCAATCTGACTCATAGTGACCACTCCCTGTTTCTGAGGGGGTATCTCTACGGAAGTAGATTGCCCAATCTTCCTTCCAAGGAGTGGCTGGTGGGTTTGAACTACCAGCCTTCTGGTTAGGAATCAAGTGTCTTAAGCATTATGCCACCAGAGCTCCTTACAGGTGGCTCTTACAGGTGGAAGGTATTTGAATTTGAGATGCCTTAAAGGTTTGATTCCCCTTAAACTGCAGAATCTCTAGCAAAGAGAACATATTAAACCTTTGTCAGTCATCTTCACTTCACTCTGAAAAAAGTCCTGACAGCTGTTTTTCTGTGGTGGAAGATTTATAACTTGGGTGCTCTAGTTCTGAGAATGTAGAAGCTTGCTAACCACTGTAGAAATGAGGATGAGCTGGAATCTGAATATAAATTCAGTATCTCACAACAGGGCTGGAGTGCTCCTTAGGAATGTTCCTGCCTGGCTTGCCCCTCAGGACTGTGTCATGGCTACTTTATCTCCCAACTTGGCTGCACTGAGTGGTGGAAAGTCACATTTAGGAATTCAGTTTACCAGGACCAAAACAATTTAGGTTTAATTGGCTGGGGACAACTGGCACAGACCACCCTGCCCATGATATTAAGAAAAGTTGGATTACCTGATTGAACTTAACAGAATTTATAATGCCAGGCCACCTGGTACTTTGGGCAGTGGTTCAGTCCCCACTGCATTTCCCATGAAGGGAAGTATGGACAAGGGATGGTACTCCTTTTTCCACCAGAGTTCTCCTTCCTGCTCACGGTGAGGTCCAGGAAGTATCACTGGACACCCTGTCATTTCCCTATGGCTTCATCCAGGACTAAAATACAAAGCAGCTTCAGGGTGTAACATATTAATTATTTAGCCTTCTGCATTAAAAAGTGAAAAAAGGCAAATGAATTATGAATTAGTTATCTAAGGTTTTCATCTTTAAAATGGTCAAGGTTAGCTGAAATGTTTAATATTGAGATGGAGAGAAATAATCTAAGTGCTGATGAGTCCATTAAGATCTTTCTAAACCAAAAATCAGACCCTTCTGTTGTCTTCTCATGCTTCTGCTCATGTCTTCTGATTTCCAACGGTGTTCTTTTATTCCCCAAGTTGTCATTTTTGTTGATTTAAACCGTACGTATGAGATAAGGAGAAAACCTATTGGATCACATTGTTCAAAACTGTCTCCTAGGGCTGCAGGAAAACAAAAGGTACCTTTCTGGGAATCCCCACTGTAAGGACAGATCATCAAGGCTCAGTATGTACCAAAATGTGGGGAAAAAAAAAAAAAAAAAACTATGACAAATCAGGAAACTCCTGGCCCTAACTCTTACCACTAGGTGTCACACTAAACAATCGGGAATAAAAACCACCAGGTCCTGAAGGCCAACAGGAATACACAACCAGAAAAGGAGGTGCAAAGAAATTTAATCTAGTTACCTTATTCACTTAGCTATGATTTTCTTTTTTATAATAATTTTTAAACCTGCAGCTAAAAGTCCTCTAAGGTATCCTTTATAAACGTTTAGGGTTCAACATTGCTATACATTTTTAAAAAGAAGTGAATATTCCCAGAGATACCTACTCTCCATTTGTCTATTTAACAAAGTAGATGATATTTTGAGTATCTTCCAAATTATAGTGTTTTTAACCTAGTTTTTCACAATCTGTTTTCACAAAGTATCAATATTTGGCTTGGCCAAATAGTTAATGTATTGGGACAGAAATTCCATAAATTGCCATGGGACACCTGGGTAAATTTCTCTGCATTTTTAGTTTTTTTAGGAAAGTAGGGACAATACCTCTTTTACAAGACTAGTTTTGAGAAATAACAAGGTGACGCATAAAATGTTGGCATTCTTCCAAAAATGTATACAGTGATACTTCCAAGAGCTACGGTCACCTTACAAAACAGGGTTAGAGGTACCTCTGTGGCAAAGCAATACAATGTTTAAGCTGGAAAAGACCTGAAGTAGCATTCAATTCAGTCTTAATTATTTTAAAAGCAAGTGTACCACAGAAAAGTTAACTGAGCTCAACTACTACGCATTAGAGGCAGACCCTAGCACTGAGATCTGCTTATGGTCCTGGCTCCATCTTGCCTCAATACTTGTGTATTTGCATATCATATGACTGCAGACAACGCAGTCTACCCTTGGCAGTTTTCATCTTAACATGTTCTAATTGCTACCCTAAAGGTTTTATTTCTTGATTTTAGTTTTTTTTCCTCCTCATATTTAGTCTCTTACCCTATTGACCCAGATTCCCCACATTCATATATTTTGAGGAGAGGAAACAGGGAGAGAAAAAGTTGACCAGTACACAGCTAGTGAAGGCAAAGATAACTGAAATAATCACTAGAGGCCTCCTGGGGCTAATTCTGAAGAACTCTGACCTAAGTTGCTTTATTTTGCCTGGACCAGTTCTAGAAGTGTTGTTGTCATTGTTATGTGCCATCGAGTCAGACCCGACTTATAGCGACCGCACCTTGGGTTTCCGAGGTGGTATCACTACAGAAGTAGATTGCCCAACCTTCCTTCTGAGGAGTGGCTGGTGGGTTTGAACCACCAGCCTTCTGGTTAGCAGTCAAGTGCCTTAGGCACTATGCTACCAGAGCTCCCAGTTCTAGAAGCAGATGAATTCAATTCATGGCTTGCTGGTAGGAGGTAAGGATGGGGACAGGGAGCATAAATTCTATTTCTGCAAGATGATACCAAAGAGTTGTGAGCTCAAAGCCCTTTCTTTCTGGAGTTGCTAAGGTGAATGGGTCCAACTACTGCCCTCCCTCAGAGCAGGAGGAGCACATAGGCGCCACCAGGGGTAGGATGGGGCAAAAAAACAAAAAACAAAAAAACACATTTTGTTTCCTGATATCAGCTAAAATCCCCTCAATGTAACAACACTCTTCCCTCTTCCTCCCTGGGTCCCCATTTCCATTGTCCCATCTTTACTGCCTCTCCTGCCTTCTGAACTTTCTTTTTGGGCAAATGGAACCCGTTTGGTCTCATATGGTTCGCTGTTCTGAGGACCATGTTGCTCACAATATCACTGTTCACTTTATAGGCCAACCTATTGTTTGGCTGAAAGGTGATCTCCAGAAGTGGGTTCAGTTCCAGGCTTGAATGGTATGTAAGGGCCATAGTCTGAGAGGTTCCACCAGTGTCTATCAGACCAGTAAGTCTGGTGTTTTTTATGATTTTGAATTTTGTTCCACATTTTTTTCCCACTCTGTCCAGGACTTTCTATTGTGATCTTGAGCCGAGGGTCAGTAATGGTAGATGGCCACCATTTAGTTCTTCCAGTGTCAGGCCAGTGGAAGCCTGGTCCATTAGTCCTTTAGACTAATTGCTTCCTTTAGTCTTTGACTTTCTTCACTCTTCTTTGCTGCAGATGGGAAGAAACAGGTTTTAGGGCCCATTTTCTGCAGCAACACAATGCAAATCAAAGAGAGAGAGAGTCCTCAACAGTTATTTCATTATTGCAAGACATCTAACATAACACCTTGCCTTACCTGAAAGAATTATGGTCAGATTTAGCACTTTTCACATATTGGGGCAAGTACTCTACCAGTCAACAGGACTGTCAACCCTGAGGAAACGATTTGAAGGTTCTCCAAGCATTTAGGTTTTTAATGCAAAAATTTTCACAACTAATGCCTGGGAAAGCTAAATGTCCCTGCATTGCAAAGCACTTGATATTGGCAGGAACACAGAAGGGGCCGGTGACCAGAGCAACCTTCTACACAGGAAGAAATTTGGGGAAATGAATCCCTACATTCAACCATCATTTCCACTCTTGCATTTTCAAAAGATCAAGAAACGGAAAGGACCGGTAGGCTGGCAAACCCCTATGAGGAACTGCCTGGCAGGTCTGCGTCCTTGGAATCTCAGCAGCAGACGACCCCAAAGCAAATCGATCAAGGGAAACCCCAGGGAAAGAAGGTTTTTTGCACAGGGCCAGGGTTACTGGGTGCTGGCTGCAGGGAAGTTCCTGGGGGGAGAGGGCTTGGTGGGGAGGATTTTCCAGCCACTTAGCGCTCATCAAAAAGTTCCCTGTACATGACCCCAGTGGCTCATCTCAGGGAGTTTCTCTGTTGAACCCGGCACAGGGTTTAGGCTTCTTTTTCCCCTAGCAGAGGACGAGGCCAGTTCTCGTTTCTGGTCTGACTAGCTTGGAAATTCCCCGCTTTTGACCCCGCCCCGGAGAAATCCCCTGCCAACGTTTATAGAGCGCCGCGGCGGCGCTGCCGAGCCCACAACAGTCCAAGCCCGCCGTCCTGCCCCAGAGCGACACTGCAAGGAAGCGCGCAGCCGGAGGCCGAGCGCACTTAGGGAGCAACGCTTGGAGCTTTCACCGCGCCATGTTTCATCCTGCCGAGCACTCCCAGGATTGGACCATGGAGGGCCACCGGGACGGGTTGAAGAAGGAGCGGCTGCTGGACGACCGCCACGACAGCGGCCTGGACTCCATGAAGGACGAGGAGTACGAGCAGATGGTGAAGGAGCTGCGCGAGATCCGCCTCGAGCCGCAGGAGACTCCGCGCGGCGCCGAGCCCTGGAAACAGCAGCTGACCGAGGACGGAGACTCGTAAGTGTCGCGGGGCCAGGTGGCGGGGTGGGAGGGGGACGCTGGACGCGCGGGTCCGGGTGGGGGCGCGGGGCCTGCAGCTGGGGCCGCCGGAACCCGCGGTGCAGCCGGGCAAGCTCTAGGCCGTGAACTGGGGTTTATGCACCGACCCTGACATCATGCAAAGCTGCACGTCTGCGCGTGTAGGGCACAGGGGATTCGGGCTGAGACCCTGGGGGCTGCGGTTCAGCACCTCTGCTTTACAGTGACGTTTCTACACACACCCCTACCCTCGTCCTGGTCCTCCCGGCCGGGGGCGGGGCAGCGGCGGAGACGCGAGGTCCCCACTTGCAAAGGGGGGCCGGGAGTTTCTGCCCCGCTGGCGGGCGCCGCGCGGCTGGGAGGGGAAGTACAGGGCGTTCTAGCCCGGCGGGAGGGCGGGGCGGTCTGGCCGGCGCCCGCTGAGGAGGAGGCGGGGCCCGGAAAGTCCCTGGGCGCCTGCCAGGAACACTCAGCTCATAATAACCTCGCGGAAAACACCGCGGCCTCGGCCTCTAGAAACCCCGGCCTTGCGCAATCCCCCGCAGCCCGCGCCTCCCTGGGCCCCACGCAGTGCACTCACCACCCCTGGGGGTTTTTCCCTCTCTTCCCCTCAGGTTCCTGCACTTGGCTATCATCCATGAAGAGAAGGCACTGACAATGGAAGTGATCCGCCAAGTGAAGGGAGACCTGCCTTTCCTCAACTTCCAGAACAACCTGCAGCAGGTGCGCCACTTGACTGCCCTGTACCCTTTCTGACCCAGTGGTAGAGCTGGATTAATGAGGTGGCTCTGGTATAGTTGCCCCCAAATCCTTTCTAAACTAAGTCACTGATCCTTATCTGCTCTGGCTTTTTATGTTCAAATCAGTAAACATCCAGCAGAGTTAAGAAAACCCACTGATTTGGTGAGCCTTTTATGGCCCACCTGGGGCTTCTGGTAATTGCCACACCACAGGGGAACAGCACCCAAACCAGGAGATGTTGCAGGTTTGGTCCATGGTTCATCCTCTTTCTGTTTCGTTCTCTGCTTGTAGACTCCGCTCCACTTGGCTGTGATCACCAACCAGCCAGAAATTGCTCAGGTTCTTCTGGAAGCTGGCTGTGATCCTGAGCTCCGAGACTTTCGAGGAAATACCCCCCTACACCTTGCCTGTGAGCAAGGCTGCCTGGCCAGTGTGGGAATCCTGACACAGACTTGCCCAACCCAGCACCTCCACTCCATCCTGCAGGCCACCAACTACAATGGTAAGTTTGTCAGTCCCTCCCCACCAGAGGGCAGGTGACATGGAGAAGGGGGAGGTGGGCTGGCAACAATAGATCACCCACTTAAGGAGTGAGCTTAAAGTGCCAACATGGAAAGGTTGAGAAAATATGTGGGAAAAATTGCCTGTTTGATGCCTTTATAAATTTCATTCAGAACGCGGATTCAGAAGGCATGCCTATTTGTGCTTTAAAAAAATAGGTGAAAGATTCTAGTTGAGGTATAAAGGTCAAAACAAATGGCTGTAATTTTTTCTGTTTGTTCTAGGTCACACATGCCTGCATTTGGCTTCCATCCATGGCTATCTGGGCATCGTGGAGCTTTTGGTGTCCTTGGGTGCTGATGTCAATGCTCAGGTGAGTGCCTCATGCCTCCAGATGGAGTGACTCAGGTGCCAGCACTCTCCTGAATCAGACTGGGGCAAGCAGAGCTTCCAAACTCGGCCATGAGCATCTCGAATTCATTTTGGTTTCAGGAGCCTTGTAATGGCCGCACTGCCCTCCACCTCGCAGTGGACCTGCAGAATCCTGACCTGGTGTCACTCCTGTTGAAGTGTGGGGCTGATGTCAACAGAGTTACCTACCAGGGCTACTCTCCATACCAGCTCACCTGGGGCCGCCCAAGCACCCGGATACAGCAACAGCTAGGCCAGCTGACCCCAGAAAACCTGCAGAGGCTGCCAGAGAGTGAAGATGAGGAGAGCTATGACACAGAGTCCGAGTTCACAGAGGACGAGGTGAGGCTCAGCTGAACTTCAGCCTCCAGTGCTCTGCGAAAAATGAAAGTAGCCGTTTTTCCTCCACCCTCCTGTGTCCCTAGAGCTACTCTTTATCATGAGGGTCTCAACACAATGAAGTTCTCAAATTAGTGTGCAAAGCCAGCATCCCAAGAGCAGTCTTTTTTGGTACTGCTTATCCTTTTATGAGGAAAGGAGCACTAAGGGAAAGCTCCCTCTGCCTATAAGGCTAATTGTATTCGGGTTATGGAGAATGGAGCCCAAGTTACTTCCAGTTGGACCCTCCCTGTCATCCCAACATCCTTGGTAAAGCTCTAGAAGTTTAACATGCCTCTCTTTTCCCTCTTCTTTTCAGCTGCCCTATGATGACTGTGTGCTTGGAGGCCAGCGCCTGGCATTATGAACAGAAACTGTCTAAAGAAACATGGACTTGTATATTTGTACAAAAACAGAGTTTTATTTTTCTAAGAAAAAAGAAAAGAAAAGAAAAAAAGAAGAAACACAAAGCATGTACTAACAGCCACACAGTTTGCTGCCCAAAACGTGCCTGTGACGGGTCAGCCCTCACTTTGTTATGTGTATGGATTCTGAACGTGGGACAAGAAAGATTATTGGAATCCAAAGAAAGGCTCTTTGAAGCTTCACATTTGTGAAGAGTTTTTGGAGAGGGTTATCCAAAATTGATAAAAAGGACCACCGTTTTATTTATTGTACTTTTTGACTGAACCACCATGGATTTAGTGGCTGACTCCAGTTGTAGCCTGTGGCATGGTGTGGTGGTAAACTTTTGGTGATTTGGGATTAAAACCTTGAGCTCGTACTTCAAGGTTCATGCTATCCGCCTGTAAATGATGTACATAGTGTATTTTGTTGGTAATTATTTTGGTACTTTTGAGATGTATATTTATTAAACAGATTTTTACAAAGTTATCCTGATGATTTTCTTTGGGGTGGGTTTATGAAGGACGTGGGACTCCTGTTGAAAGTCATTTGATCCTCAGGTGGAGGTGGAGGTGTGGGAGCCAGCTACATAACCCTTTCAGAGAGAAGCTTCTCACACTGGGCGCACCCAACCTCCCAGCTCGGTGTGTGGGAGGCTGTTGCAAGAGCGATAGAAAACACCATGCTCAGGCCTAAGGAGGGCAGCGAGCTGCTTGGTATGTAGCTGGAAGGCTCTGCATGTCATTTGCTTTCATCTTGATTTCAGCTGTTCTAAGACCTTTTCTTCCACTTGAATTATTTTAGCAAAGAGGAATATGCTGAATTCACATTTTATAGAGCTGGAAAAGATCTCACCTGTAATGCTGGAAGTTGCTGAGGACATAGGCTCAGGAATGGGACTATGTTGACATTTATTAGGTGCTCATCTCTGAGCCTCATTTTCCTCATTAATAAAATGGGCTATTGTGAAGATTACATAAGGTGGTCTATGAAAAATGTGTAGATGGGTGCCAGACTTGTAAGCACTAAAGGACATTGGAAGCTATTGCACAAATTCTGTATGGGAGGTACAGAGAGAATGTCCTATCCGAGATCACTTCAGAGAGGCAGTGGATTAACTTGTTTCAATAACACTCTTGCTTTCAAGTTCTTAACCATCTTTTAAATACATCCCACCCCTACCTACCTATCTTGTTACCAGCTGTAGTGTGACATCAAAGGCTTGAGACTTTATCAGCTCACAAATCAGTAGAACCAGAATGACACAAGTGTAAAATTTCAGAAGAAATCAGTCATTCCTGAAACTTGTGCTTAGATTCTCTGTCTCAATGTTTTCAAACTTATCTCTTGCCTAGGTAAGGAGGTAAAGCAAAGTATACAGTGTTCTGTAAAGTATAGAATGAAAAATATAATTCATGAACTTTGGCTTATATCTAAGAAAATCAGGTATTTATCCCTTTCCTGATCCACAAATGGTGTCAAAGTCAAATGAATATAATGGTTACCTTCGTCTCAGACCATGAAGTAGCCAGTATTTAGTGGATCTTTCATATGTAAAGAGCATTACTGCAGACTAGAACCAGCTGAACAAAGCCAGCTCTGCCTATTTCCTGCAGCCTCAGTCTGGAGCCAGTCTGTATCAGTCTTGTTTTCTCTCAAAGTGCCCCAGATTCATCACTGTAATTCCCTGTCCATTCCCAGGGCAACAGAACACAAGTGTTACATTATCTAGTACATGAATATTGATTAGGCCCAGCGCTCAGCTGATAAGGAGAGAGGCAAGATAGGGAAGAGGGGAGTCCACACCCTCATACTCAAAAGAACAGAGATTAGAAACTTGACTCCCCAATGTCCTTAGTGTTTCTACCTCAGTCAGACAGGCCCTTAGAATTTTCCCGTAGGGTGTTTAATTTGTGCCAAGTCGCCCATACAGTCTTACTTTAGCTCTGTGTAAGAGGGTTAGAGAAATGGGACAAAGGGATATGGCCCATCCTTCCTCAGTCTCCTTGGCATCCAGCTCTTGGGCAAGATACCATCCTCCATGGTGAAGGGGCTAGAGGCTGTCAGAACATAGAGGGGCTCTTCTGACCCATTGGAGCCTAGCCCCTCACCTTTTCAGGCTTTTCTTCTCTCTGCATAAATCCAGATATAGCTGGGCCCAGTCAAGGGCTGAGTCTGCACCAGTTTCTTGGACTCCCCAGTTCCTTTCCTTGTTTCTCCACTTCCTCTTTTCTTTTTCTTTTTCTTCTTTTTTCATTTACAACCTCTTGTCTTTCATGCCATTTGGTTGAGTGCCTGGAGCATGGAGATTCCCAAAGGAATATTTTGGAATTAAAATATTCTAATCTGTGCAAAACTCAAACTCACTACCATCGAATCAATTCTGACTTACGGCAACCCCCATTGGTTTCCGAGGCAGTAAATCTTTACAGGTGTACATTGCCCCATCTTCCTGCCCCAGCTTCCTTCTATAGAGCAATTGGTGGGTTTGAACCTCCATCCTTCCAGTTAGCAGTCAAATGCCTTAAGCACTAGCCACCAGAGCTCCTTAATCTGTGCAAAACTTTCCTCAAATCTCCAAGAGAGCAAGAACAAAAGCTTTCAAAGAAAACGGTTCATCAGATTGCACTTTGATTTTTTCCAAGAAGCTTAAGGGTGCTGCTAGCACAGGTACAAATAAGGAACCTTGGGAAGGAAGGGAATGAGGCAAGGGGGAAATGAAAAGTCATGTCAGCAACTTCCTTGAATTTAGTTCCTTTATTTATCATTCCTGCCTCATCCATCAGGATAAACTTCCTTTGTAGGTCATATGTACCAAGTCCCTTCAATAAGGAGTTTTGTTTTGTTTTTTTTAACCAGGGAACAATCTCCAGCCTAGGGAGGAAAACTGGGCAATCTACTTCTGTAAAGATTTACTGCCTTGGAAACCCAAAAGGAGTCGCTCTGAGTAGGAGTGGACTTGATGGCAGTGAGTTTGTTTTTTTTTTTTTAAATCTCCAGCCTGAGGAATTTGAAGCCATTCTTCTGGGCCTGGAAATACCACATTTCCTCCCTCAAGTGCTGGCTGCTTGAGGTGATTTACATTGAAACCCCAGTCGCTAATGGAAGTGATTAAGCGGTGACAGGACTGAGTCGGTATGATGGGTTCTTCCCTCACTCCCCTTTCCGTGTGGATTATTATTAACTTGTCTTAGCCGGTCACTATGAGTTGGCATCAACTTGTCTGCAGTGGATTTTTAGGTGTAGCTAAAGTTTCATTGGCAAGAAAGATAAGAGTTGTGGAGCTCCAGTCAGATAGGTATCCAAGAAGCATTCCCCAACCTCTGGTAGCTGTGCAAGAATAGCCCAAGTGAGTTTCCCCATTTTAAGGGAGCAGTACAGACAGTGAAACTAGAAATTATTTGTGTGTTTCTTTCCTAGGGAAGTGGGACTCTCGGTCCCATTCATTCACACACGATATAAAGCACTCATGCTAGGGGCTGGGGGAGCAAAGATGATCAAGTCTTGGCCTTTGCCCCACAGAACTTGCTTAGGTGGAGAGGGAGACAGGCAAAAACAACCAAGATGGGGATGAGGGGTGGGAGAAGAGAAGAAAGCACAGGGCCTGAGGAGCTCAGAGGGAGGCCCCCAACAAAGAGTGGGCTGGGGAAGGGAATCAGGGTATTACACCCCAGAGAGCTATTTACCCAGCAGCCCTATCTATTCTGGAGTCCCTACGTGGTACAAATGGTTAAGCCCTCAACCATTAAATAAATGAAAGTTTAGCAGTTTGAACCCTCCCAGAGACACTTTGGAAGACAGTCCTGACAACCTGCTCCTGAAAGATCACAGGCTAGAAACCGCCATGGAGCACAGTTCTCCCTGAAATAGACCTGTGGCCACAAGCTGGACTCCATGGCAACTGGTTACTTATCTCATGCCCCAAGTGACCAGTGGTATCTTTTTAACAGGTAGCAGGAAACCAAGCTGTGCTCAGAACAAAACTAAATTCCAGCAGATTAAATCCACCGCCTCAACAGGCTGCACTGTTCATTTTTGCATCCGTGTGGCGCCCTTGATTCCACAACTGAAAGGAATTTGCCATCAGCCTTCGAATTAGTGACAAATGACGTGCAGATCTTAGTCCAGAGCTTCTCGAACTCAGGGTGTATTTGATTGCCTGGAGATCTGGCTGAAATGCAGGCAGGCTCGATTCTGTTGGTCTGGGCTGGCCTGAGAGTCTGTGCTTCTAATACTCCCCCAGGTGAGATTGTGCTGCTGATCTGGGGACCACACTTTAAAGAGCTAGATCTTAGACAAGTGCTTTCCATCATTCTCAGTGCCACTGTAAACCATAAGTGCTTCTGCAGCCTGTCACCTCACAAGGATGATCTAGCAGCAGGCAATGAAAGGTATGGCTGGAACTTCTTACTGACTTGAAGGATTGAGCCAAGGCCAACAAACCTGCCATGAAACCCTGTAAGTGTAATAAGGCAGGCGGCTGACGTAATACAAGGCCAAAGGCATAATCATGTCAGTGCCAAGAAAGGAACAAGAGTCATGAAGGAAATACATTTGAAAGGGCAATGCACCGATTAAGAACACTTGATTTTAAAATGAGCTTATTTGTACCTTTGTATGGAGTTGCTGTGGCATGTAAGAAGGCCACGCCCAGGCCCAGGCTGTGGAAGGCGTGGAGTAGCAGCTGTCCTATGACAAAGTTCCCACTCTTCTTACTGGAATGTAAGAAGTGTTAACAAAACTGACTATAATACATCTGGGAAAACCTTAATACAAGAATAACTTCCCCTTAGCTTTTGTTTGCAAGGCACTGAGTTTATGCTAACGGTGGTAGAATATTTTGGAAAAGGATAGCAATAATGGTGACACAACATGAAAAACGTTGTCAATGTCCCTGAGCTGTAAATAGGGAAGTTGTGATGTTGGTGAATGTCCTGTTTTGTATGTTTTCACCACAGTAAAAGTAAAAAATAAATAAATAAAAATAACT